AAGCTAGGCTTGTTGCGAAAGGTTATACCCAGATCGAGGATATTGATTATGATGAGACCTTTTCGCCAGTAGCTATGCTTAATTCCATTCAGATTCTCTTGGCTGTAGCCGCTCATGTGGACTATGAGGTCTGGCAGATGGATGTCAAGACAGCTTTCCTTAATGAAAATCTACAGGAAGACACGTATATGCAGCAACCAGAGGGATTCATTGCTGAAGGTCGTGAGCATCTAGTGTGTAAGCTTAATCGGTCTATTTATGGACTGAAGCAAGCTTCGAGATCTTGGAACATAAGTTTTGATGAGGTGATCCAGTCGTACGGGTTCACTCAATGTCCGGATGAGCACTGTGTTTACAAGAAAATCAGTGGGAGCGTGGTGGTGTTTCTTGTGCTTTACGTAGATGACATACTGCTTATTGGAAACATTAAGAAGGAGTTGTCAGACGTAAAGGTGTGGTTGTCTAAGCAGTTTGTTATGAAGGACTTAGGTGAAGCAGAACACATTCTTGGTATTAGGCTCATTAGAGACCGTAAGAAGAGAATGTTGTGCTTATCCCAGTCTTCATACATAGATACTGTCTTGGCCAGATTCAGCATGCAGGATCCAAAGAAAGGCATGTTACCTTTCAGACATGGAATACTTCTATCTAAGAAGATGTCTCCTAAGACGTCTAAGGAGATAGAGGAGATGAAGACAGTTCCTTATGCTTCGGCAGTAGGAAGTCTCATGTATGCAATGCTGTGCACTAGGCCATATATTAGCTACGCCGTTGGCATGGTTGCTAGATATCAAAGTAATCCGGGACGGGAACATTGGTCTGCGGTAAAGCATATACTCAAGTACCTGAGAAGGACTAAGGAGTACATGTTAGTTTACCGTGCAGGCAGCTTGTTACCTCTGGGTTACAGTGATTCTGATTTCCAGTCAGATAGGGTTGAAAGTAAGTCAACCTCAGGTTATGTGTTTACCTATGGGAAGTGGAGCCATTTCATGGAGGAGTGCTAAGCAAAAATGCGTGGCAGACTCCACCATGGAAGCCGAGTACATAGCAACCTCAGAGGCAGCGAAAGAGGCAGTTTGGCTCAGGAACTTCTTAGTGGACTTAAAGGTTATACCGAGTTTGCCACGTCGTATCACCGTGTACTGTGATAACAGTGGAGCAGTAGCGAACTCAAAAGAACCTCGAGCCCACAGGGCAAACAAGTACATAGAGCGCAAATACTATTTAATTGGGGATATCGTTGGTAGAGGAGACGTTGATGTTGCCAAGATTGCGTCAGAGGACAACCTAGCTGATCCTTTCACGAAGAGTTTGCCAGGGAAGGTCTTCGTCAAACACGTGGAAGGAATGAGAGTCATAAGCATGGCAATATGATCGACATAGGTCTTTTAGAATAACGGATTGATAGAACTATACTGTAAAAGCGAAAGCTTTAAGTATAAGTGAAAGATTGTTAGTGTTATATACTGAAAGCTTGGCTTTGCATGATATTACACATTTACCCTTTATGAATGAGAATCATGTTAGATTAAACAAGTTCTACGTTTTGTTGTTCTGCACTTAGATAGGGTGGGTCGTCATCGGGTGAACCAAAGATCACTCTATCAGTCACTTGCGAACAAGAATAGTTGTTCACAACCTAGATGGACATGAACACCCCATACGAACGGTTGTAGTGTCAACTATACAGTTTGTCTTGACTGATTAGTTGCATTAGTACATTTATTTATTGAACAGGATCCCAGAGAAGAGAAGTCCATTTTATACTGATCGTCGTAAATGAACTAGGCCTCGATTAATTACTGCGTTCTCTTAACCCGTAAGATATTAAACAGGCAAATATATATAATATATATTACTTTGATTCACATGGGTGAGGTTCAGTTCGCTGGATTAATATTCTTACTGTTTTGGGTAACATTATTATATATAGGATGTGCTGTTAGGATATTTACGGTCATCATGTGCGTTAGTTTGATGATGTCCCCGGAGTGAGTTCATGAAGGATTGTTATGCTAAACCCTGCAGGTGTATTAAGTTCCGGCATAATAAGAATGTGATGGACGAGCGCTAGCTTCGGTGAAATAATAATAAATTAATTAATTCTTGATTGTCAGTAATCGAATTAATTAATGGACATTATATCTTAAACTTGGGGAGGTAAATCGAGTAATTATTATTGGAGTCTCAAATGTAATTTGGGCTAGGGAAAGGGAGTGCAATAATATAATGTTGGTGGTCCATTAATATTATTTAATTAATTAGAGGAGTGAGTTTGGCCCACATTTAGCCTAATTAATTAAGGAGCTCTTTTCCTAATCTCTTAAGGGTCCCTACTGTAGCTCTATATATACATCATTAAGCATATGAGAGGAGAATAACAATCTCATATTCACGAGATATACACGCCGCCCCTACACACTCTCTCTCTCTAGATCTCATTCGAGCTTTATTTTCTTCTTGTTGTTCCACTGGTACAAGTTGAAGAAGGGTGTATTGAGTAATACAGTAGAAGATCTGTAGGTAAACCGAGACGAAATATATTTTGACCTACAGAACTAACCGGAAGTCCAATTGAGACGTACAACATACCCAGACAACCGTCTCGACGAGAGCTTTCCATCGCCGCCAAGAACGCAGGCGTCCGACGCCTCACGCGTCCTCACGCGCCGCCGGAAGCTCCCAGACTGCAAAGTTTCGTTTTGATCCGTTTGCATCCGTTTGATCCAGTTTTGATCTTATCTTGTTCGTGCAACCCAAGACGTGATTTGCGGTCAACCATTCGTGATCAACCAGATCTACATAAATTTTAAGCTGTAAGTTCTCTACGTCAAACCTTTAGATCCGCTGCGCATAGGTTTACGTTTGCTATTGAATTCGTGACTTGTAACGAGATCCTCGCAGATCCCAACACACATTGCCCTCTGTTGAAGCCCACCGTCCAAAGACCTCCACCACTCACGAGCCGAAAGAGACCGTCGCACGATCGTAGCCATCTGCTTCAGCCGCCCAAACTAATTAATAAAGAAAGAGAGAGAGAGAGAGAGAGAGAGAGAGAGAGAGAGAGAGAGAGAGAGAGAGAAAGAGAGAGATAAGAGAATGGATAAGATTGGAGATGGCGTGAGGCGTTATTGTTTTTTTTCAAATTTTTGGGAAGTTACAAAAATAAAATCTCTTTACATTAGGGAAGTAACCAATTGCATGCAACTACTTCTATTTCCCTAAAAAAAATTATGTACTATTTTAAAAAATTAATTTAATAATTTGTGGTATATTTTAAATTATAACTTATGGAAATTGCGGCTCATAATTTAAGGAAGTAAAAGTCATAGTTTAAGATACTTTAATTCCTCAAATAATGTGAATCAATTAATATATGGTATATAGTGGACGAATTTATTTGTGGTATTGATGTTTGTTTCTATGAGAAATAAATTAATCAATATATAGTATAAAGTGAGCAAATTTATTTAGGTTTTATTTTTTTAGCATGATAAAGAGTGTCTATTTTTGTTGGCATAAAAATCTTATGACTGATTGTTTTTATTCAACTACTTAAATTTTCTGATTTAGATATTATGTACAAAAATAAATTCAGATTAATTAATTAAACAATATAAGTTTTATATTTATACTTATTATTCACATTGGTTTTTAAATATATGATAAAGTTTTACCAAAATAGTTATTTTATGGAATCACGTTATAGTCAAATCGAATTTGTGAATAATTTTTTTGAAATGTCACATATTTTGAAATGAATATAATATATTTTATAATCAATTATGTGCAATGCACGGGATGTGTACTAATTTTAAATAGACATTTTCATATAATTTTGCACAATTTAAATCTTATATGACATTTTCAATAAATTATATAGGTTCATTGTATTACATATTAATTCCATGTTTCTAATTTATAAATAATAAATGAGAATTTTTAATTTATAAATATTAATTAATATCTCTTACCCGTGCATCGCACGAGATTCGTACTAGTTATCTGTACAAAACTAGTGTGTACCCCGTGCGATGCACGGGAACAATATTATAAATATACCTCGAGTTTGAGTCACTCAATGGCGGAAGTGGAAAAATTACTATTGATCTTATTTAAAAAGAGGAAGAAAAAAAAAATAATTATAAATTAAAGAGGAGGATAAACAATACTTAATAATTATAAATAAAGATTCGGGGTCAAACAATGTAAAATTATTTTGTATAAGAGAATATAAAAAAATTTGATTACAATTATTATTATACTTTTTTGTATGGTTAGCTTATAATATTTGTAAAAATATTAGTAATTAGACCGATGAAAATTAGCTTCTTAAAGTAGATAATGGATTTCTAGTAGTAATTATGAATTGGTTTCTATTTTATTTTATTTTTTCTTTTTAAAGATAATGGATTTCTAGTAGTAATTATGGATTGGTTTCTATTTTATTTTATTTTTTCAAATTTGTATAGATAAGGGATAAAATTTTTTAAACACGTATGCAATTGGATTTGTAACAGAAGAGATAACCTCGTGTAGATTTATACTAAAAATAGGAAAAAAGAAAAACAAATATTTATTGTCAAATAACGGTTTTGATAAACTAAAAAACAGGAAAAAGAGAAACAAATCTTAACATAATTACTGAGCCGATTTTTTTGCCTATTCAGATTTGTCCAACAATTACTATATGCAAGATATATTTAATGATTTTGGGGGGAAAAAATTTTCAAATTTGTAAAAAGATTATTCTTTTTATATAATGATAGATGCAAGTTAAAATTTGAGAAAACCTACTATGTATGCAGATATTTATGTCATGTTTTCTATGTTTGCAAATAAAAAATTATGTTAATATATATGCAATACTTTATATTTTGGTTTGTGCATGGGTAATTTTCTATATATTTATTATGTGAAAGACCAACTAATAATAACACCCTTTAAATCAGGAAAGACCCAGAGACAGATACCGAAAACAAACAAAGCAGATGAGCGCAAAATTAATTAAGAATGGGCAATCCACAAGTTCCCAACTCACATCACATGTTTACACGTTTATACCATATGAATCAAAACGACGGATTTGGTTTTGAAGCACGATATATGATAGCATAGAAAGACAGAGAGGACAAAATCACACTGCAAAGTGCAAACAGACATTATCATATATTGAACGAACCATCACACTCACACCCGTGACCAACACAAAACTACAAACAAACAACAGTTGTCCATCCCCATACTATGCCTCACCTCACCGCACAGCAATTTCAAAAGTCACAAGAAAACAACAAACACCACAACGAAATCCCGCAATTCAAAATAAAATTAAATTCGCGATTCAATTAAATAAAGTGCCCACATTAAAATTAATCTAGCTGCACTGCTCACGCGCAACCCCGAGCCTGGAGTTAGGGCCGTCCACCAGCACGCGATGGTTCTGCTGCTGGAAGCTGGCGATCACATTGAGGACAGAGTTCACGCCGGAGTCTGGGGCCGCCGCCATGGCCAGGCAGGCTGTGTTGCCCGCCGAGCTTCGGATGATGAAGTTATCCTGCGGGAGGGTGAAGTTCATCCCGGAGAACATGAAAGTTATGGTCGGCACGTTGATTGGCACATTGTAGCACGTGTCAAATCCTCCCAGCGTCGACACTGTCGCGTTCATCCTTCGCCGAAACTCGTCCCTCACTGCCACGTACGCCGGCTTCACCAAGCTCGTAAATACCGTCCCTGCTCCACCAAAATTTCGATTAATCTAATTAATTGAAAAATACCGTGAATCAAATTGATTGAAAATACGCCGGATTAATTAAATAAGAGTTTGGAGAAGTATTTATTATTATATATTTTACCTGAATCGAATACTGTGCCTGCGCCTGTGGTGGGATCAAATGCGAAAGCAGATGGCGGGATGTTTACGACTCTTCTCCCAACTCTAATGGCCAATAGGTTGACATAGTAGAGAGATGACCTCCGGGGATTTTTGAGGAGCGGCGTCGTTTTGATGGTCTTGGGCTGGCTGTTGGGGCCCAGCCTGAGGGATCCGGCAAAGTTGGGCGACTTGTAGCTGGGGAGGCAGTAGGAGAATATGGAGTTGTAGAGCTGAGTGGTTTGGGAGAGTAGAGATAGTGGGCCTCGGCCCAACCCAAGCAAGCCCTGCGCCGGGAAGGAGTTGCCTGTGGTCCCGCGCACGCACCCAAAGGTGTACGCGGGGATGAGGTCGGTGGCCAGGGTAATGTTGTCCTGCACGAGGTCGGCCGCGACTGAGGAGCTGCCATACGTCCGGTTGAAACCGCATGTGGTGCCGCTACAACTTGGGGCCGTTACCTTATCAATAATAATTAATAATGATAATTTAGTGTTAATAGAGTATATCTATGAAATAAATGTTTTAAAGATTAATAATTTTCTTCTCAGTGTTCAAAGCAAGATTTTATAATTAATTACTAGTTAGCAAAAATTGGGAAATGCGTTACGAATATTGATGGGATGGGATCACATCACATAATGCGGAAAAAATTTAAAAAAAGAAGAAGGATATGATAGTAGCTTATGTCACACTCAAAAAGTATTAATTAATAAATTTAATAGTGAGAAGAGGAATATTTGTTCACGGGGTGCACTGAGGACCCCACCAAACACATGATAAGACTGAAAGGAAAAGAAAATGGAGGTATTAGGTATAGGTACCTGGCTGCATTGTGGGGCCCCGCACGCGACAGGCTTGAATGTGGTGGATTTGGAGGGATTATATGTGGCGGAGGAGCAGCCAAGGCAGCCAGCGCAGGGGAACCACGCGGCGTCGTTGCTTGTATCTATGGCTACGAGGAGGGTCTGGGCGGGGGTGCCTATCTTGGCCCGGACAATGTAGGTCGGGTTCTGGGTGATGGCCCGGCCCGAAGCTATGGGCACGATGGAGCGGCCCGCGACAAGGCTGGTGAGGTACTGGAGCCTGGCTCGGTCGTTGGACTGCATCTGGAGGACGGAGTCCGCCCACGAGAGGGGCATTGTCTTGGGCCTCAGTGGGGAGCAGGGGCTGTTGACGTGGAGGACGCGGAGGTCTGGGCCCTGCTCTGGTGCATCGCACCCAAGGCCTGCTGCAGATGCCACAAACAGGGTAGCTATATGTGAGAAGACAAGGGCAAGGGCAACACCAACAGCAACGGTGCTAGTACTCATGATTTATTTATTTATTTATTTTTATTTTTTTTCTTTGTGGTTTTGTGTGTTGGGATATGAATACAGTGTGTGCAAGTTGGGTGGCTATTTATAATTGGTTTGGTTACTGTTTCTAGTGTGGTAAAAATGATGCACTTGTCTCTTCCTCCACTAATTTGGAATGTGTTGTACCCAAATTTTTTAAGGTGTGTTTGTTTATAAATAAATAAACTCAATTCATATTTTTAATTCACACTCAAAATCTGATTCAACTTTAATTCAATTCTATTATCTAAATATTATCAGTATAATTAAATAATACAATTCAATTATTCTTACACATCACATCAATTTTAATTCACTATGCATCCACTCATATAGTTTTAACTAATCATCACTTCACATCATCTTTATCCTACTTTTACATCAAATCAATTTTAATTATTTTATTTTAAATATTATTTTAACATAAACTCAAAATCTCATTAACAACTAATTATATAACATTTTTTTAAAATTAACCACGATTAACAATTTTTTTTTTAAGTTGATATATTTGTATCCAAACACGCCCTTAGAATCTCGTCTAGTCCACCAAGACAAAATCAGACAAATAATTAGGTCTATACAAGTCCAAACATCAACAAACCATAAAGCACACGAACGACCCAAGAAACAACACTGGTCGAGTTTACAGATCTCCCATGATCTGCACATATCTCTCTCTATATCTTCCCCGAGAAGATTTGGCGATTACCCTCGCATATAAACGCTGAAGCAGTAAAGCTGACCATCTGTGCCACCCATCCACTAAAGCAAAGTTTTGCATGAGTACACGCAACGCCAACCTACGCCCCGAGCTGACACCAGTCATTTATTACGCCTTTACCATTTTTGTGTATAAATTCAACCTATTCGATTCTAGCAAAAAATAAAAGAATTATCATACAAAAGAAACTACCACCACCACTCTCATCAACACACCACCATTGTAATGCATCTTTATACAGTTTCTCAATATGCATCTTATACAGTTTCTCAATAAAAATTCTTGAGAAACATTCTCCTTGTCGATCTCCTCAGCAAATAGCATAAATTGGTGTCGTATTTCTTTCTTGCTTATTTACATTCCCATTTTGTAGATTTGTTCATATTCGCTCTGATTTTCTACCTAAATTCTACAATAAACTATTTTCTAACCCCCAATTTGACCGCTTAATTAGTACCAATCATAACCGCTGGTGGCCACCCGTCAACACAATGTTTTTTCACACAATTAAACTCATGCCACTATGGCTCATAATCCCAAACTTAATCTTATTTCCACCAATTTTCTTTTTTTTTTTTTTTNTTTTTTTTTTTTTTTTATACCATGAAAATAAATTATTCATACAGAATCGTTATGATTAATAAATGTACAATGTATATAATTTATGGGTTTTCCATACATATATAGGGTTGTGTTCCAGTGGGAATGATACTCATGGAAAGAAATAAGAATAGATCTTGACCATAAAACCTGATGATCTAGTGGTAAATAAACCCCAACACTTTTACATTCATTAAGAGCAATTTGAACATTTTCCTAACCACCCACCATCCACTAACATCAATGAGCCCCATCCCCACCTACCAATTTAATCTAGGTGTCACGTCTCTCTCTCTCTCTCTCTCTCTCTCTCTCTCTCACACACACACACACACACACACATACTAAACCGACACACTCAAAACTCCCTTAAGGAGCCACCCAAGGCCGCAAAAAGTAGCATCGATTCGTTCGCCGTTGACGCTCGCCACCCGAAAACGCCAGCATCATCGCCGCCCGAGAACGCTTGTTGTCGTCGTCCTATATTTATCCTCATATGCCAATCGTTGATGCTCGAAGACATCTCAACGACGTCGCCGCGTCACCGGTCCCCTCCGTCGACTCGTCGACACTGCCGTCACAGCACATGTTCCATAGTCTCGGCAATTAATTGTGCAAGCGGTGGCCTTTATCATGAAAATTAAGGACAAGATCGACGACGAAATTGCATAAGACGAGCAGAAAATCGACGATAAAATGAGGATAACTAGACTCGCGTGGTAGTGGCGTGGTTGGGCTAGCTGGCGAGATATTATGAGGCGGGATGGTGAGAGGTGATTAGAAAAAGTAATATGAATTTTGTATCATAGGGATCCATTTTGAAAATTAGATAATTACAGGGGGCTTATTTGTAGTTTTAAGAATATTTAATAATATGGAGATTTAGTTAATGCGTCAAATATGCAATTTCTAAAATAATTAATAAATGCACATTAATTAGAAACAAACGCACAATATGTGCATGGATATGCATATGAAAAATACACGTGTCGCCGAATGCACGGTTGTGTTAGATTAAATGCACATTAATACCTTCGAGAATGCACACGGTGACCCTGCGTGAAAATAATAAAATACGCAATTATGCTAGTGTGTATTTTCGCAAATTTTTAAAATTATAGTTATTTTGGTTCAATTTCTGCTTTATTTAAAAAAGCGAAATAACATAACCAACCGAATTACATAAAAGTTATATCTTTTATATATATTATTTGTATATATTACTTAGTTTCACCCAATACTATAAAATATTAAATAAAAATATTAAAAATACTTGATATATTTTTATAAGGATTTAATAACTGCAAAATAATGTTAATTGAATACCAACAATTCAGACTGCACATTATTGCTAGACTAAATGCACATTAGTGTTTGAAATAATTCACATTACTGTAACATTGTGTGCAATGACCACTAGAGAAAAATCAAAGTATATTGTACGCTATTGTGCATTTTCACATGAATTAAAGATCATTTTATTTGCTGCTATTGTGCATTCTGTAGCGCGGTTAGAGGTGTACAAAATTTTACCAAAATCGAAAAAGCTAACTAGACTCGACTAAAGTAAAATTTTTGGTTCGGTTTTTTATATGTCGATTGGTTATTGATTTTATTTGTTGTAAATATTTTTACCAAAGTAGAATCGAAAGATTCGAACACCGGGTTGTGTCTCTCGAGGAAGGTTAGCCGGAATACTCTGTACGTTTATTCAAGCCCAAATTAAAGAAATAAAATTCCTAAACATTCTAAATCCAAGATTGGTTTCGGTTTTTAATTATCAACTACTAAAATTTAAATTAAGCAAATTGAAATAGCAAATTAACACGTAGAACAAGCAAGATTCAAGAAGCTAGGGAGTCGGGGATATCCGTTTTGGATCGAAATGCAATTATCGGGCAAGATATTGTTTGGTTAAGTGATTTGAATAACCTGTTTGTTCAAGAACTCAATCTCAACAACTCTTCGTAACAAGAGAACAAACTTAAACGACAAATTAACAAGTCAGTTAACACCTAGGCAATACAGTTACAAACAAGCCTAGTTTATATGAGCCTATTTCGACCGACTCCTCCCCTTTCGGTTCTAAGAATTGATTAAATTAGACTAGAAGACGGTTAATCAACTAGTCCGTCTAGAACTAATAATATCATGTACGAATTAATCGAATTTAATTGAAATAATTGGAAGTTGAAGTGTCACCCTTCAACAATTCTCAAAACTCAAGAACGATGGTTGAAAAATCCTTATAAAAGATCAACTCGCACAAATTGAACAATTACGAGCACAAAAATCACAAATGATTCCAAAACATCAATCCCCTATCCCTACCATAAAGATTTAACCACTCATGATCGATTCAACACAAACAATCTCATAAATCAAACAAACATATTCATGGATTAAAGGAATAGAAAGTCTTACAATTAAACGAAATTGAGAGTAATCCACAAAGCAACGACGAAATCCGAGTTTAAATCCGTTTTCTATGATGAAAAATATGAAAAGAGACTAAAAGACGAGTCAAAGAAACGAAGGGTAGGGTTTTCCGTGTTTTCTGGGCGTGATAGAATGTCTGATCGCGATCCCTGATCCCATATTTATAGGCGAGAGAATGCCGCGACGTGGAAGGACAGGGCGCGGCGCGAGGGCTTGGTGTATAGCGGCGCGAGGGAACTGCTGGGGAACGGTGTGAAGCTGTCCCGCGGCGTGGAGCGGGAGACCTGGGCGTTCTGTGTGGGCACGACACCTCGTCGCGGCGTGAAGCTGGCGCTAGGCGCGGCGCGGAGAAGTCACACGTAGTGAAGATGCTGTTCTGAACGCCCGTGACGGGTGTTCCGATTTTTTCTGCTCGTCGCCAACACACTTTTCTACCATATTATTCTTGCCAAAACAGTTTCTTCCACCACATCAAAATCGATCAAAGTACTCAACCTGCACACCACTAAAGACGAGAAAAATGCAGAAAACCGGAAAACAACCGAAAAACGCAAGAAAAACCAAAATAGAACAAGATTCCCAATAAACTATAAAAACGAATAAAAACCAAGGAAAAGACCTAAAACAGGGAAAAAAGAAAGGCAAAATGACAATGAAAAACGCAACAAAAATGGGACAAACAACTTTTAAAACTTATATTATTATGGTTCAGTTTCGGCTTCATTTTTAAGATAACCGAAATAATCGAATCGACTGTACTATATATTAAATATTATTTTTTATATTATATATTATTTATTTTAAGCTAAAAATAAATTTTAAGCTAAAAATGAAATAAAATATTACATAAAAATATTGAAATACTAAATATATTTTCATAATATAAGTAATAATCTATTTCATAACAATTGAATAAACCGGTTATTTCGGTTCGATTTTATTTTAATTTGGAACAAAAGTTCTGTCAGTTTGGTTTTTCCATAAGTTATACTTGGTTATTTCCGTTTTGATATTTTTTCAGTCAGACGGTTAGGCCGAACCAACCGATAAACAAGCTTAACCGCAGTGACATTTTGGTAAATTTGTGATCTTTTAAATGTGCATGCGGTGACAATTATGTGATTTCGTAAACATATGATGGATTTTTTAATGTGCATGTGTTACATAAAAATTTGTGAACTTAATTGGTAAATTTGCAAAATTTAAATTGTTTACGTGATGAAAATTCTATAATTTTGTATAAATTCTATAATTGTTTACAGCACGTATCT